GGCTAAGACTCTGAGCTCCCAATGAAGGCTGGCCCAGGTTCAATCCCTGGTCAGGGAACTGAATTCCACATGCTGAAAGTAAAAGATCTTACAGGCTTCTATGAAGACTGAAGACACTGCATGCCACAATTAAGACCTGTTGTTAATTTGGCTGTTACACAGCCAAATTTAAAAATGTAAAAAAGAGAAAATCTTCATCAAACAATATTCCAAGTTGGCTTACTATCTGCTCATCTTCCTCTGGGATCAATTCCAACCTGCCAAGTTCCCTCTTAAACTAATATGTCCAGAACAATATTCTAGATGTGGAGGGCAAAAGAAATGTCACCGCTCCTGATCTGGATGCCTTACATCTATTAATTACTTGTATCCTTTTTACTTTTTTAGGTAGCCTCATCATGGTCCTTGGTTCATAATGAGTTTGTGGTCTGCTAAAATCTTTTCTTTACTAGATAGACTTTACTCTTTTCTTATGCTGCTGATTTTTTTGAAATCTAAATCAGATTTTACATTCATCCTAATTAAAATTCATGTGGTTCATTTTTTCTCCTATCCTATCAAAGCTTAACTCCCATTTCCTGAATAATACGTAGATTTAATCAATACAGTTTCTGTGATTTCACCCAAGTCTTTATTAAAAGTTTATGATCTTCAGGACCAAAGACAGAACCCTGAGGGCCCAGGGAGCCCTCAGCTTTGTCATGAATGTCTCCGGGAATGGCTGCTGAACTTCGTTTTTTGTTTAAATTTATTTATTTTAAATTATTATTAAAAAAAACTATCTATTTATTTATTTGGCTGTGCCAGGTCTTAGTTGAGACATATGGGATCTAGTTTCCTGACCAGGGATCGAACCTGTGACCCCTGCATTGGGATTTTGGAGTCTTAGCCACTGAACTACCACAAAAGTCCCTTAAATTACTTTTTATTGGAGTATAGTTGCTTTGCAATATTGTGTTAGTTTCTGTTGTGCAGTAAAGTGAACCAGCTATACATATATCAGGTACACATATACATATATCCCCTCTTTTGGGGACTTCCTTCTCATTTAGTTCACCACAGAGCCCTGAATAGAGTTCCCTGTGCTATATAGTAGGTTCTTATTAGTCATCGATTTTGATGACTACATAGTACACGCTGCCATTGCTGCTGCTAAGTCTCTTCAGTCGTGTCCGACTCTGTGCAACCCCATAGACGGTAGCCCACCAGGCTCCTCCGTCTCTGGGATTCTCCAGGCAAGAACACTGGAGTGGGTTGCCATTTCCCTCTCCAGTGCATGAAAGTGAAAAGTGAAAGTAAAAGTGAAGTCGTGTCCTACTCCTCACAACCCCATGGACTGTAGCCCACCAGGCTCCTCCATCCATGGGATTTCCCAGGCAAGAGTACTGGAGTGGGGTGCCATTGCCTTCTCCGACACAGTACATAGTAGTGTATATACATCAATCCCAATCTCCCAATTCATCCCACCCTCCTTTTCCCCATTTGGTATCCATAAATTTGCTCTCTGTAGCTGTGGCTCTATTTCTGCTTTGCAAATAAGTTCATCTGTATCATTTCTCTAGATTCCACATATAAGTGATATTAAGCAATATTTGTTTTTCTCTTTCTGACATCCTTCACTCAGTATGACAGTCTCTAGATCCTTCCATGTCTCTGCAAATGGCATAATTTCATTCCTTCTTATGGCTGAGTAATATTCCATTGCATATGTGTACCACACCCAGGTCTCCTGCCTTGCAGGTGGATTCTTTACCATCTGAACCACCAAGGAAGCTCTCAACATTCCACTGTATATACGTACCACCTCCTGTTTACCCGTTCCTCTGTTGCTTCCAAACCCTGGCTGCTGTAAACAGTGCTGTAGTGAACACTGGGGCTCATGTATATTTCTAAATTTTTATTTATTTGTTTTTGGGTGGGCTGGGTCTTCGTTGCTGCGTGTGGACTTTCTCTGGTTCCAGGGAGCAAGGCCTCCTCTTTCTTGGGGTGCACTGTGGTGCCTTCTCGTTGCGGAATCTGGACTCTAGAGTGCAGTCTCAGTATTTGTGGCTTATTTGCTCTGTGGCATGTGGAACCTCCCCCAACCAGGGATGGAATCCATGTCTCCTGCACTGGCAGGTGGATTTTTAACCACTGGACCACCAGGGAAGTCCCCACGTGTGTCTTTTTGAATTATGATTTTCTCCAGGTATAGGCCCAGGAGTGGGATTGCTGGCTCATGTGGGAATTCTGTTTGTAGTTTTTTGAGGAACGTCCATACTGTTCTCCATAATGGCGGTACCAATTTACATTTCCACCAACAATGTAAGAGGGTTCCCCTTTCTTCATAGTCTCTCCAGCACTTATTTGTTTTGTAGATTTTTTGATGATGCCCATTCTGACCGGTGTGAGGTGACACCTCATGGTAGTTTTTTTTTTCTCATGGTAGTTTTGACTTGCATTTCTCTAATAATTAGTGACGTTGAGCATCTTGTCACATGTTTTTTGGCCATGTGGATGCCTTCTTTGGAGAAATATCTATTCACATCTTCCACCCATTTTTTTCACTGGGGCATTAGTTTTTGATATTGAGCTGCATGAGCTGTTGGCATATTTTGGAGATTAATCCCTCATCAGTTGCTTCACTTGCAAATATTTTCTCCCATTCTGAGGGTTGTCTTTTCATCTTGTTTATGGTTTGCTGTGCAAAAGCTTTTAAGTTTAATTAGGTCCCATTTGTTTGACTAATGAACTTTGTATCCACTCACTGTAGAATCAGGTAGCCTATGTATCCTGGGCCCAGGGTCATAAAAAATGCAGGCAAGAAAAAAAAAACCTTGTAATAAAATGAGAGAGAAAAAAAACATTGTAATAAAATGAGAGAAAAAAAAACATTGTAATAAAATGAGAGGAAAAAAAATTGTAATAAAATGAGAGAAAAAAAAAAATGCAGGCAAAGGCCTCACAAAAATCGCAGTAACAGTGCAACACTATCCCCTGCCCCAGGGAAGGAGAAGACACCTGGCCCACCTTGCACCCACTGAGTGTCTCCTGGCCCATGGAGGGCCTCATTTTCCTCAGCTTCTCATCACATCAAATAGTAGTTTACTGTTTAGAGCTGGCTGGGTCTTTGTGTCAGCTCCACCAGCTGCGGTTGTGGGACCCACCTTCTCCTGCCTCGGGAAAATCAACATCCCTCTCATCTCCAGCATTTCAGATCATCTCTGCTTCCCAAGACTCCCCAAACTCACAAGAGAGGCTCATGAAAAAGGTTTGCTCTAGCTTGATGGCTTTCATGGTGATAGTCCTCAAAAAGGCTTTTTGTACAAAGACCTCCCGGTACCTGATCTTGTTTGATCCTCAGAACAAACGCCTGGATAAGTATTAACCTCCTTTATAAAATAGGTGAACTGAGGTTCAGTTGGAGAACCTATGTGATTTGCCTAAGGTGAATCAGCTAGAAAGTGTAAAAGTCAGACCCAGGGCTCTCTGCATGAGACACAGTGCCAAATGTCTCGCCTCTGGGTGACAGTGAGGGGCCCAGGAGAGAAAGTCTCCACCCGTTGCCACTCCCATGTCTCCAGGGGACCCCCTCATGGATCCCAGGGAACGCAAGTATCATCTCTCTCTGAATAGCCAGGAAGTGAAAAGGGAAGGAGAGACTCCAAGTCAGCATTCCTGGGCACAACCCTCGGGAGGCCTCAGCCCAAACCGAACCGCAGGATTTGTGAGGTAATGTGGGGGTGGAGATACCTCAGCCTCCCACACCATGCCCACTGGCCTCTCCCTTCCAGTGGACCAGCGAATTCAAACTCCACTTGGCCTAGTGGGACAGCCTCCAGGTCATTGATCCTGCTGTATTCCCTTTTCAGAAAACCTCCATTCTCTGTGCTCCCTTGGGTCTCTGAGGACTCCTCAGATGCTAAGGATTATGATAACCTTATTGGTTACCCCCACCACCATTGTTGCCCACCCATTACCAAATCATGAGCTCCTCCAGGGGTGGAACAGACTGCTGACACAGAGTAGGTTTCGAGCTAAATTGGATGCACATGAGCAGAAATTTCTCCCCCCCCCCCCNCCTTCAAGGAATCTCATTATTCTCGCCTCTCCCCCTCTGAGGCTGCTTCCCCTTTACTAGCCCCAAATCCCACCTCCTTCACCACCCAGTTCAAGGACCTCCCCTCCTCCAGACGGCCTTCCCAGCTACTCCCGCCCGCAGTGAGCTCTTTGTCTCCCGAACTGTGGCTCTCTCAAAGGGATGTTTTGAGGATTCAGTCAGATAACGTAAATAAAATGTTAGAACATGATTTGGCACATTGCAAAGGCTGGATAAATTTGGACGCCTTGTGACTAAGAAATGCCTCTTTCTGCTTCCTCTTCTTGGCACAGTCTGAGAGCCACCAGGGGGCGCCCTCTGCACAAATATCCCCGTCACCGAGGACGGGCTGGAGTGTCCTTCCTCCCCCGCCCCGCCCCAGAAATGAGTGAGAGGTGGGGTTTCACTACCTAAAAAGTGGGTATATGAACTTCAGGTTATATGAAAGAGGAGTAGAAAGCCTGAGGTGAGTAATGAAAAGAACACCCTTTTGCCTGCTCCCTTTGTTTTCTGATGGAGACTGAGGAAATAGGGTGTGCGTGCATCCGCGGTGTCTCCCAGTACCACACATATTTGGTGTTTTTCAGGCAATGTGTTTTCTGACTTCTGTCTTCAATGCTGCCTTCTTCCAGTATTTCAGGAGGGTGAGTCTTTGCTATTTAGGGAAAACATGGCCACATCTATCCTTTCAGCCGTCCCATGAGAGTTCCATCGGCGCTCCCATTTTATGGATCAAGAAACTGAGTCCGAGAAGAATTCAATGAGTGACACTTTTCTTGGATGCCCTGAGTAACAGACTCTCATCCCCTCGCAGGCCTGAATCCCCTGGCACCCCTTCCACAGGCTCAATTCTGTGTATAATCTCCTTTTATCTGGGGTGATGACCTTGCCTCACGGCCTCCTTCGCCTGAAAGCCACCGCCCTCGGATCGGGTTTTCCTGGCACGGGTTTTCCTTTGGTTCCGCTCTGCAGTACCCCAGGGCGGCAGGGACAGAGGCTGCCGCCTTCTCTCTGAACCCTAAGGGGTTAAGGCCTGGGTCCCGCCCCCTTTTCCCGCCAGGCTGGCGGGAGTATGAATAGCCTCGCTCCCACTCCCGACTCCCAGTCTCTCCGGTTGCTCCTCGCCCCGCCCCGTCATTGTCCCCATCCGCGTCTTTTCCCTTCCGTCCCCAAAGCTTTGAGAGCTGCTGGCTTCTCCTGGTGCTCCGAGTCTCTCCACCTTCGGTGGGTCAGACGAGCAGGATGGAGGGCTGCCTGGGGGAAGAATCTTTTCAGATGTGGGAGCTCAATCGGCGCCTGGAGGCCTACCTGGCCCGGGTCAAGGCGCTAGAGGAGCAGAATGAGCTGCTCAGCGCGGAGCTCGGGGGTCTCCGGGCACAGGCCGGGGACGCCTCCTGGAGGGCTCGTGCCGACGACGAGCTGGCGGCCCTACGGGCCCTCGTCGACCAGCGCTGGCGGGAGAAGCACGCGGCCGAGGTGGCGCGCGACAACCTGGCAGAAGAGGTGGAGGGCGTGGCGAGTCGGTGCCAGCAGCTGCGGCTGGCCCGGGAGCGGACCGCGGAGGAGGTGGCCCGCAGCCGGCGTGCGGTCGAGGCCGAGAAATGCGCCCAGACCTGGCTGAGCACTCAGGCTGCGGAGCTGGAGCGCGAGCTGGAGGCTCTGCGCGCGGCGCACGAGGAGGAGCGAGCCGGCCTGAACGCGCAGGCTGCCTGCGCCCCCCGCGGCCCCGCTCCGCCCCGGGGTCCCCCCTCGCCGGCCCCCGAGGTGGAGGAGCTGGCTCAGCGGCTGGGCGAGGCGTGGCGGGGGGCAGTGCGCGGCTACCAGGAACGCGTGGCGCACATGGAGACCTCGCTGGGCCAGGCCCGCGAGCGGCTGGGCCATGCGCTGCAGGGCGCCCGCGAGGGTCGCCTGGAGCTGCAGCAACTTCAGGCAGAGCGCAGCGGCCTTCAGGAGCGCAGGGCCGCGCTGGAGCAGAGGCTGGAGAGCCGCTGGCAGGAGCGGCTGCGGACCACTGAGCAGTTCCAGGTGAGGAAGTCCGGGGCGGGGACTGGGCAAGACAATGCTTCAAGAAGTCCTTTTGGGGTTCAGAGACGTGGGAAGGGGAGTGGGGAGTGGGGGTGGCTGTAGATTTAGGGGCCACTTCTTAGAAAACCATGCCTGGTACCACCAGCCTGGACTCTCACAACTCTGTCTAGTGCGGGGTTGGAGGTTCAGAGTCCTCCAACTGCACCTCGAAGGGCCGACAGGCCCAAGACGTTGCAGCAGTCTCCTCCCGTCTGGATGGCACCCTCCTACCCTGATGGCCCCTGGGCCCCTCCCTAGGCTCTGCTATCACTCAGAAGATGCTCAGGACTTGGCCCCTCGGTGCTGATTTGATGGTCTGGCCTCTCAGTCTCCAAGTTCTCAACAGCCCTCCTCCCCCTGAAAGGAGAGGGTGAGGGGCCCTGGATGAGGGGCCACCAGCCCCTTCTCCCTTGTCAGGGCTGTCCGGCTCCTGAGTACATTCCAGAGGCCTGGGACAGCTGCTCCCCCTCACACTGCGCAGATGGGACCAGCAGCTGAGAAAACAGCCTCCTGCCTGGCCCAGACAGAGGTCTCACTATCCCCCACTCCCGCTTCAGAGGAGAAAGATTCCAGAACATGAGAACATGTGGGAAGTGGAGGGGGCGGGGGCCGAGTGTGGGGAGCAGGAGACAGTGACTGGGACCCGGGCTGTTTGGCTTGCAGTCCTGCAGGCTCCAGGCCTGTTGATTAATCGTTTTTCCTTCTGCTTCCACTTTTCCCCCTTCTCCTCCTCTCTGTAACCCATCTCCTCTCCTCCCTCACCTCCCCCTTCCTGTGGGAGTTGAATTCTGAGCCGCATGTGCTACCATTTAATCAGCATCCTCAGAGGAGGAGCCAGGCCGTGGGAGAGGATTGAGAGGGGCCCTTCTCAGAGGCTCCAGAAGGGGGTTCTCTGGGCAGGGAGTGGGGTAGGGGGAGGCAGGAATCTGCTCTGCGGAGAAGTTAATCAGGAAGCGAAGAAGTTGCTGCTGCAGCAGCCAAGGGGGAAGGAGCCCTCCCCTTCACTGACTACCTCTGGCTTGCTCTGCAGCTGGCCGTGGAGGCCCTGGAGCAGGAGAAGCAAGGCCTCCAAAGCCAAATCGCCCAAGTCCTGGAAGGTCGGCAGCAGCTGGCACACCTCAAGATGTCCCTCAGCCTGGAGGTGGCCACATACAGGTAGACCCTGACCCTGACCCACGCGGAGCACAGATGCACATATACATGTGGGGACTGACTCCTCACCTGAAGGGGCCCAGAGCCACGGGTGGGGTGGGGGCTCTGCCACCACTCGGTCCTGTGACCCTAGGCTGATCCCTTCCACCTAAGCCCACCTGCTGTCCTGTGGGTTCAAGTCCAGAGAAGTATTCTGTGCCCAGGAGACCCTCCATGGAGTGGTGATATAGCTGAGTGGGACAGCCTCGAAGGAGAAGGCTGGACACCTACAGGTCATCTGCATCCAGAACATTACCCCCAAGGGTACCCAGTCCCTGTGTGTATGCACTCACACCAAGAGGGTGATGTCCTTGAGCAGCCTCAGGAAGGAGGAATTGCAGGTGTGGGCTGGTAGCACCGACTTGCCACCTGACCTGGGCCCCAGTCTCCTGGTCTGGAGGGTGGGAGATGGGCTAGGGGACAACCAGAGTCCCTTCCATTCTGACTGTCTGGGGGCCTGACTCCTCTCAAGCTTTGGTACCCTTGGCCTTGCCCAGCCCTTCTACTGACCACATACACTGTTAGCTCAGGAAAGGCTGAGATCAAGGAAGTGCTGCTTCTCTGGCTCTGTGGCCTTGGGCAAACCCACAGTCTCACCTGAGAAACTGACCTGGTTAGCCCAGGCCCCACTGATGGAGCCTGAGGAAGGAAGGGGCTTTGCCATGGTGAAGGGTTGCGTACTTCAGGCCCACAGGGTGGCGCCAGGGCTGGACAGCCTATGAGGACAGTGCTCCCAGAATCTACAGACGAACAAAAGCAGGGGCCCTGGAGAAAGCTCAGGAGGGGAGGGGAGGCAGAGCCCAGAGGAGGAAAGTCAGCGAGGCTCTCAGGATGAGAAGGGAGGGCCTCCACCTCCACAGAGGTCAGAGAGCATGGTGCTGCAGCAGGAAGACAGAGAAGACACTGACCAGACTCCGAGATGATGAAGTGCACAGAGGAGACAGATGTTCAACATAACTTGTTGAATTGATTGGTCCTCCTTCCCCGCAATCAGTCCCCTCCTTCTCAGTCCCCATGGGACACTAAGGCAGGGGCATGGACACAAAGACCTTCGTTGCCCTGAAAGGCTTGGGATCCAGAGTACTTAGAGATCCCCAGATAAGAGCCTTGACCCCTAATCAAACCACTGAGGGGAAAGGTCTGGGCAGGCTTAACCTGGGTTTTGAGGCATGAAAAGGATTTGGAGAGAAGGGAGCTGAATTGTTTTGTTTTTGTCTGTAGCCAGCTCTGGGGGCCCTGGGGGAGGACGAGGAGGAGGGAGCCTATCCCATGGGAACGGCCGGAGAATTCCCACTTCCCCAGGAAAGCCCCCTCCTCAGACCCTCCAGATGGCTGTGTGGACAAAGGCATCCATTTGCATGAGAATCGGCCCCCCACCGGAGGATGAGGTCATAGGCCTGGGATGGGGAGGGGACTAGTCTAAGCGCTGTGTTGGGGGTGTGTACACTATGTCGACTCTGTGGGAACCGCCTGTGTGTCTGTGAGTCCAGCTGTGTGTTCAAATAAGTGTGTGACTCTGTGTGACCAAGTGTGTGCTATCTGTGGGTGTGACTATGTGATTTCATGTGCAGAGCCAAGTATAACCCCATTTGTGTGATAGTGGTGAAAATGAAGAGGAGGCCTGCCAGGCGGGAGCTGTGAAAAAATTTCCCCCGGCTGGCTGGCCTGCTGGCCTGTGGGCAGAGGGCTAACCCTGCTTTTCTTCCCTCATCCCCAGGACCCTCCTAGAGGCCGAGAACTCCCGGCTGCAGACACCTGGAGGCGGCTCCAAGGCTCCCCTTGGCTTTCTGGGTAAGAGGAGGGGCCAGCTTGCCCCAGAACTTTCCCTCTGTTTCCTCTTCGTGCCCCAGATCTGTTCATTTTCTGAGATGAGAAGCAGGAAAGCCTAACTCTTGACTCCCCGGCCCCTAACATCAATGAGCATGCACTTAGCCCAGCCCAAAAAAGGCAGGTGCAGGGTTAGGGTACCCCTCCCCATCCCAGCTGATCTGTCCTGACACCATTTTCCCCCCTCTGCCTTTCCAGACCCTAAGCTGGAGCTACATTTCCCTGGGACCCCAGAGGGCCGGCGTCCGGGACCTCTGCTTTCTGTCCTGAGCCCGACTCCCCTCTCCTCACCTTTGCCCGGTACCCTTGAAACACCTGTGCCAACCTTTCTGAAGAGCCAGGAATTCCTTCAGGCTCGCACCCCGACCTCAGCCAGCACCCCCATCCCACCCACCCCTCAGGCTCCCTGCCCTGCTGTAGATGCCAAGATCAGAGCCCAGGATGCCCCTGTGTCCCTGCCCCAGCCACGGGTTGGGAGGCAACAGGTGCCAGAAGTCATGTGGGCTGAAGCCAAGGTGGCCATCCCTGCCAGCGTCCTGCCAGGACCAGAGGAGCCTGGCGGCCAGCAACAAGAGCCCAGTCCAAGCCAATCCCCTGAAGATCATGCCTCCCTGGCTCCAGCCCTCAGCCCTGACCACTCCAGTCTAGAGGCCAAAGGTGGAGAACCCAGTGGGTCTAGAGAGTCCAGCAGACCCCAGGAGGAAGATGAAGGACAACTCTGGGGGCTGGCAGAGAAAGAAACAGTGGTAGAGGTCAAAGCAGTGAGCAGCTTGCAGCAGGAAACATGGCAAGAAGAGGGGGGTCTGGACATGAAAGAAATCCAAGACTCCCAGGGTCCTTTGGAAAAAGAAACTCTGAAGTCTCTGGAAGAAGAGATTCAAAAGCCATCGATTCCATTGGAAAAGCAGAGCCATGAGACGATAAGATCTCTAGAGAAGGAGAATCTGGAATTGCTGAGGCCTTTGGAAGAAGAGAACTTAGAAACACTAAAAATACTAGAGAAGGAGAATCAAGAATTATTGAAGTCTTTAGAAGGAAAGGAGATGGAGGTAGTGAGATCTCTAGAAAAAGAGACTCTAGAACTACTTAAGCCTATAGGAAAAGAGGATCCACAGACATTGCCATCTCTAGAAAAGGAGAATCAAGAAATAACAAGGTCTCTTGAAGTTAATGTAGAGACATTTTTATATCCAGGAAAGGAAAATCAAGAATTAGTGAGGTCTCTAGAAGAGGAGAACATTGAGTCATTGAGAACTCTAGAAAAGGAGAGTCAAGAGCCACTGAGATGTCAAGAAGTAGAGAACCAGGAAACATTGAGACTCCCAGCCAAAGAGAATCAAGAGCCATTGAGGTCTCTAGAAGAAGACCAGGAGATATCAAGACCTCCAGGAAAAGAGAATCATGAATCCCCGAGGGCTCCAGAAGATGAGAATCATGAGGCTTTGAGACCTCTAGAAAAAGAAAACCCAGAGTCACTGAGATCTTTAGAAGAAGACCAGGAGGCAGTGAGACCTTCAGAAAAAGAAAACCAGGAGCTGCTGAGGTCTCTAGAAACAGAAAACCAGGAGTCACTGAGGTCTCTAGAAGAAGATCAGGAGGAAATAAGAGCTCTAGAAGAAGACCAGGAGACAGTGAGACCTCTAGAAAAAGAAAAACAGGAATCACTAAGGTCTCTAGAAGACCAGGAGGCAATGAGACCTCTAGAAGAAGAAAACCAGGAGCCGCTGAGGTCTCTAGAAAAAGAAAAACAGGAGGCAATGAGACCTCTAGAAGAAGACAAACAGGAATTACTGAGATCTCTAGAAGACCAGGAGGCAATGAGACCTCTAGAAGAAGAAAACCAAGAGCCACTGAGGTCTCTAGAAAAAGAAAAACAGGAGGCAGTGAGACCTCTAGAAGAAGAAGACAAACAGGAATTACTGAGATCTCTAGAAGACCAGGAGGCAATGAGATCTCTAGAAGAAGAAGGCCAGATGACATTGAGCCCTCTAGAAAAAGTGAAACCAGAGACACTAAAGCCTCTTGGAAAAGATCAGGAGATAGTTATACCTCTTGAAAAAGAGAATCAAGAGTTATTAAGGTCCCTAAATGAAGAGAGTATAGAGGCAGTGAGGTCTTTAGAAACAGAGACTCCAGAACCACTAAAGCCTACCGAAGAGGAAAACCTGGAAATACTGAAACCTCTAGAAGAGGAAAGTCAAGAGCCACTGGAGTCTGTGGAAGGGAACCACGAGACACTGAGACCCCCAGATAAGGAGAATCAAGAGTCACTGGGCTCTCTGGCAGAGTGGAACGTAGAGAATTTGCAATCTCTAGAGGAGGCCGACAAGGGAAGTCTAAGGCACTTGGAAGAGCAAGAGAATGTGGAGAAGGAAGAGAGTCAAGTGTCACTGAGGCCCCTGGAGGAGCAGGGACAGGAGCTGCCGCTCTCTGCACATCAGCAGAAGTGGGAAGATATAACGCAGGGGGACCAAGAACTGGATCAGGACAGGCCCCCTGGGAGGGCTGGGGTGGACAGTGAGGATGGGGCAGAGCTGGAACTGAAAGAACAGGCTGGCTTCCCTGTGAAGGGGGAGGTGGTGGAGCAGGGGGAGCTGCATCTGACAGCCACAGGTGAGGCCTGGGGCGCGGGTGAGGGGCAGCCAGGCGGCCCCGAGCCCAAAGAGCAAAGGCTTCCAGCTGAGGGAGCAGGTGGGGCAGGAGGCACTGAGGGCCTCCAGGACCCTGAGGAGCAGCCAGAGCAGGTGGGGGCCCTGGGCCTCCCGGCTGCCCAGGGCATGTCAGAGGTGATGGAGCCCGTGTTGGAAGATGAGGATGTGGCCCCCGGGGATGGCCGAGCCTCCCCAGAGGTAACTTTGGAATTAGAGATGGCCATGGGCAGGTCTGCGGGAGTGGAGCGGGGACCCGAGCAGAAGGTAGTAGGGCTGGAGGACCCAGGTGGCCTGGCCAGAGAGGAGGTGATGGAGCCACCCCTGGGGGAGGGAGGTGTGGAGGCAAAGAAGGTACAGGGCTTGGAAGGGCCCAGAAAGGAGCTGGAGGAGGCAGGCACTCTGGAGCCAGAGGTCTCCACACTGCCCAGGAAGAGCAGAGACCCGCTGGAGACTCCTAGGGACTGGGAGGAGTCAGAATCTGGGGCCCCTGGGAAAACAGAGACAGTCTCAGCTGAGACCTTATGCCATGAGGGAAGTGATACCCCTCAGCCCAGGCCCCTGGGGTCAGAGGGAGCAGAGGAGGATGCCAAACCGCTGCTGGGGGCCCCCAGTCTGAGGCCCACCGAGTCCTGCTCTCCCACCCTAATCCCTGAAGATGCCGCTGGGCCCCAGCCCCTGGCTGAGGGGAACCAAGAGGCCAGCTGGGGGCTGGAGGGCAGGGCTGAGGTCCCGGGAAAGGCAGACGGTGAGCAGGAGGATCTGAGCTCTGGGGGGATCCCAGAGGGCCTCCAGGAGGAAGGGGAGGAGAGCAGAGAAGAGAGTGAGGCGGATGAGCTAGGGGAGACCCTTCCTGACTCCACTCCCCTAGGCCTCTACCTCAGGTCCCCCGCTTCCCCCAAGTGGGACCTGCCTGGAGAGCAGAGGCCCTCCCCTCAAGGGGAGCCTGGAAAGGAAGGCTGGGATCCTGCAGTCCCAGCCTCCAAGGGCCTTGGGGCCCACCCCTCAGAGGAGGAAGAAGAGGAGGGAGATGAGGAGGAGGAATGTGGCCATGACTCTGAGCTGTCGGAAGAATTTGAGGACCTGGGGACTGAGGCTTCTCTCCTTCCCGGGGTCCCCGGGGAGGGGGAAGAACCTCTGAGCCAGGTGCCCCAGCTGCTCCTGGAGCCTGCAGCCTGGGATCGTGATGGTGAATCTGATGGATTTGCAGATGAGGAAGAGAGTGGGGAGGAGGGAGAGGAAGAAGATGAAGAAGAGGGGAGGGAGCCAGGGGCAGGGCGCTGGGGGCCAGTGCCCTCTGTGGGCAGCCTCCCCGCCCCGAGCGGCCCTCAGGGAGGGAACCTCCTGGGGTCTGAGACCGCGGATGTCAGTGTCCCCTGGGACGATGGCCCAAGGGCCGCGGCACCTGACGCCCCCATGACTGCCCCGGAGACTGAGTCCCAGAACATCACTGAGGCCTCAGGCTCAGAGGAGGAGTCTGATGCTGCCCCCCTGGAGAGGGAGGACCAAGTCCCTGGCCCTCTGGGGACCCTCAGTGGGGTGGAGGGCACCCCTGATGTCGGCGGCCCAGGCCCCAGCCTGAAGGAAGAGTTGGAGCATGTGAATGGGGGTGTGGTGAACGGGCTGGAGCAGTCCGAGGGGATAGGCCAGGGGGCCGCCGAGGGGGACCGAGGGAGCCCCTTGGAGGAGGAGGGGGGTTCCCTGAAGGCCCCTTGGGCAGGGGCTCCTCTTCACCTGGGCCAAGGCCAATTCCTGAAGTTCAGTCAGAGAGAAGGTGATGGAGACTCCTGGTCCTCCGGGGAGGACTAGAGAAAGCACTCCTACACGGAGGCGTTGGGCGGAGGGGTGTCCCCCGGCCAGCCCCCTGCCTGCTCGGGGCAGCACCCTTCACCTATGCTCTCCTGACCTGGGGTTTCTGTCCCAGAGGCCTGGCTGGCCAAGATGAAATGGGTGTGGCAAAGGGACCCGGTCCAAGAGTGGAGACCCCGGGAGTAGATCCCAGCCCCTTGGCCTCTGCGTCACGGGGACAGCCTGCCTGCACTGTCCCGTGAGGCTGAAGCCAAGTGAATCCCTGTAGGACTAGTCCCTCATTTTCACTGCACCTCCTTCCTTCCCACCCCATTACCTGGAGAAGGCCAGGGCCCAGTGGCCCCTCCAAAGGGAGGGGCTGAGGTGGTCCGTGTGCCAGGGCTTACCAGCTCTGCCCTTCCTCCCGCACCCTCATGAGATGGTGGGCCGGGGGCTGATGAGGGTGAGGGGGTGCTCCTGTGTCCTGACCCCCACATAGACCTGCCATCTTGTGGCCCCGTCTGGCTCATCCCTGCCTGAATAAAGTAATGCCTCCGCCTACAAAGATTGGACTCTTCCTTCCTCAATTCGGGGGTGCCTCAGGGTTGACACAGAGGCAGAAGAGCCAAGGTGGGGGGAGCAGGAGACGCTGGTGTTGGGGAGGGGCTACTTGCTGGGGATAGAAGGTTCTGGAGAGCCTCATGGTGGCAACAAGCCAGGCAGATGAAGGCTGCAGGCAGCAGTGCTGGGGACCCCGGGGAAGGCTGGGGGTGCTGCTTGACCGGGGGATGGGGGTGCCAACCCAGGTGACCTTGGCGCCTGCAGAAGCCAGGCCTGTCATCATCGCTGCCCACAGCGCTGATTACAGGGATCAGGGCCTGGGGCCACCCCCACCCTCGCATGTCTTCCCTGCTGGCCCCTCAGTGCCGCCAGCATAATAAGCCCCCTTGCCCCCAAATCCAAACAACTGTCTGGCCTTGGTGTCTGCTCAGACTGACTGGGTCAGAGCCGGGTGAGGGGGAAGGAGGTCGTTCTGCCTTAGTCTGGCTGTGTGGCCTCAGGTCCGTGCTTAACCTCTCTGAACCTCAGATCCTGCCACACAATGACAGACAGGGGCCAGGTGACTCAGGGGCCTCCCAGGGCAGAGAGAGCAGTGACGAGGAGAAGCCAGAGGGTTACAGGTTAGGTCTTCAGTAGGACTTCCTTGCAAGTGGAAGCAGGAAACGGACGACAAGAAAGGGGAGGTGAGGGGGATAAACTGAAGCTGTCGGGTGAAACGACGAAAGTGCGATGATGGGGTATGCTGATGCCTTGGGTTCGATTGGGGGTCCACCCAGCCACAGCGTCTTTCCAAGAACACCCCCCTTCCCAGGAGTTTTCTGGGTCCCTGTATAGGGCTAGGAGGGACCAGGGGTGCCCGGATTAGGCTGGGCCTGAAGGCCTTGTAGTCAGGATACCTAAATAGAAGCCACTCCCCATCTGAGCTCTGGAGGGAAGAAGAGCAGGCTGGCGACACCTCTAAATACTCTGGGTGGGGGTGGGGCAGGAGCTGCCGGATGAATGTTCCCCATTGGAGAGACAATCCCAAGGCCAGAGGCAGGCCCTTTCTTTTCTCGGGCCTCAGGCTGAAGCCAGGGGAAGACGAGAAGATGAACTCTCAACCCCTCTGACTTCAGCTCATCCTCCCGACAAGGAGGGGGTGGACAGGAGGCCCCCGACAGGACCCCACTGTCTGCTTCTCTACCCACACCTTCTCCGCCTTCTGGGAGTCTTTGTGTTGGTTATCCAGGCCTCCATTTCACACACACCCTGGCCCTCGGAGTCGAGGATGCTGGCGGCCCTCCTGGCCTCCACTCTCCCTCCTGTACCCATTGCTAACAAGGCCATGTCTGATCTCACCAGGCTGCCAGGCTGGGGGCCAGCATGCTGGCATCCGGGCAAATAAGGCCCCCTCCCTGCTCCTCTGATGAGACAGACGAGCCCTGTATTTGTCTCCCCAGGCCCTCGGGCACCCCCACTTAGGCGAAGGGCCAAGGACAGAGGCTGAGTCCTTCCCGTGTCTGGGCCATCCTGCCATCCCCCCCCACTTCCACACACACACCAGGGCCCCTGATTCCCTGCAGAACTACCCAAACTATAGCCATTTCTGCTGACCATCTCTAACAGGGGGCGAGGAATGTTAGACAGAAGTGAGGACTCTCTAAAGGAGGTATGCCATGGGAGATGTGTCCTCTCTGGCAATGGAAGTCTGTGCAGCAGGAGAAATGGGGTTGGACAGCAACAGGGACTGGCAGCTGCTACGGAGGCATGTACTGTGCGTCATGGACCACGCAAGCGTTGGGAGTCCAGGGTTACTGACCCTGAGAGCTCTGCCTTCTAACTGAACAAGGGCTTCTGAGTGGAAATCATTCAAAAACCGAGACAGGCAGGAGACTGTGGGAGCATACAGCAGGCGCCCCTCCGATCTGAGCTGGGGGAGGCTGGGAGGAGGTGGTCAGGGAAGGCTACTCTAGGAGCCTAAAAGAGGAGCAGGAGCTGGCCAGTGTAGGGAGGAGGAGAAAAGAGGAGGGGGAGGAAAAGTATTCTAGCCAGAGGGAACAGCATGGACAAAATCCTGGGGCAGGAAGAGAAGTTTGGGCATTTGAGGAACAGAAAGAAGGCTTATGTGACCAGAAGGTGGAGAATGAGGGGTAAAAAGGTTCACGATAAGGCTAAAGAGGAGTTGGGGGCCAGGGGGTTAAGGCCTCCCTAGGCAGCCAGGAAATACGGCTTTCATCCTAAGGGAAATGAGTCTCCTCTGAAGTAGTGAGATGACACGACCAGGTTTGCGTGTTAAATAGAACTTTCCGGCTGCTGCGAGAGTGGATTGGGGTAGGTAGAAGGGCTTCAGGGTCTTGCCGTGGTCCAGGCAGGGGATGAGGGTAGCAGTGGGACTGGAGAGAAAGCACGGAAGGGAAGCAGAGTCTCAGAACTTGGTGATCCATTGTGGGAGACAGAAAGGTGGTGGCTCAGATGGTAAAGAATCTGCCTGCAGTGCAGGAGACCCAGGTTCGATCCCTGGGTCAGGAAGATCCCCTGCAGAAGGAAATGGCAACCCACTCCAGTATTCTTGCCTGGAGAATTCCGTGGACAGAGGAGCCTGATGGGCTACAGTCCATGGGGTCACAAAGAGTTGGACACAATTGAGTGAGTAACACTTCACTTTACTTCTGGCCTAGAGGTCACCAGGACAGAGCCCCCAGGAACTCCAGCTGGGAGGAGACACTTGGGCAGGAGCCTGAAAAGGAGGACCAGGAGACTGTGGTCCCTTGGAGACCGTGTTGTCTCGAAAGCCCTGGGACAGCGTGGCCTTGGTCTGACACGGTGCCTGGGGGCCCGAGGGTGCTCAGTAAACACAGACTGAATAAATAAGTGAATGAATGAATGACTGTGATGAGGTCAGACAACAGGAAGCACTCCGGAGGGTGGAGTCCCAGGGGAGGGAACCAGGAGGCAGCACCCGCCACTCCCCCACCCTCCCCAGCACAAGGGCAAGTGGGAGGTTATTCTGGGGCCTCCTCTGGGTAAATATAGCCTCTGAACGGGGTGGGGGCAGGGTGGGGGGCCGGAGGTGGCTTCCTCGGTTTGTTTGGGGCACTTCCTTATAAGGCTGTGCAGGCCGAGGCGCCTGGGAGGGTGAGGTCAGGGGCTGAGTTCTCCATTCAGCCCGGCCTGATGCTGTCCCTGCCACCCAGCTGCTGCCGCTGCTGCCAGAGTCGCAGAGGAAATCAAAGGCCTGGGCTTTGGGCTCTGGCCAAGGGAGCTCAGAGTGCGGCCTCTTAAAGGGCCCCTTCAGCCTCATGTCTATGCGGGAGCCCAGTCTAGGGTGGGACAGGGGGGTCTCTCCAGGGTCCTCTCAGAAAGTGATGCCGGAGGCCTCGGTTTTCCCACCTGCACAATACCGCTCAGACTGGGTCATTCCCTGAGGCCCACGCAGCGAAGAGACCCCACGGTCTAACCTCTACCCTTCCCACTGCAGGGTCTACACTTTTTGCTCTGGTCTCTCCCTGGTAGCTCAGCTGGTAAAGAATCCATCTGCAATGCAAGAGACCGTGCTTCAATTCCTGGGTCAGGAAGATCCCCTGGAGAAGGGAACAGCTACCAGCTCCAGTATTCTTGCCTGGAGAATCCCATGGACAGAGGAGCCTTTTGGGCTAGAGTCCACGGGGTTGCAAAGAATCAGACACAACTGAGCAACTTTCACTTGAGACAAGAGACTCAGAGCCCATTCATTGCTTCCCAAGGCCCTGGTCCTCTCGGCTCCTCTCGGCTCCCCACCCTCAGCCCCTCCCTGGGGGACCAGCTGCTGCCACTTGATTCTTCGGTGTCACAGCTGCTGTCAGAAATGCCGTCCTGTCAGGCAGGGCTGGAGGAATGTGATTTAATTTCAGCTGGAATGTGCCCTCTGGGGCTGCCCCTAGAAAGGGGAGCGAATGGACACTAAGCCCACCTAAGCCCAGGAAACCCAAGAAGGCTCTGGGCTTGGGGCCAGGCCCCTGGGTCCCCGTGAGGCCCCCACTCCCACCCCAGAGGGAATGGTAAGTGGCAGGACAGGTGCTGCTGCAGAAGACGTCATGTGAATGCTGCTCTAGTGGATCAAGGAAGGACCCAGGTACCCGTTCCAAAGTCCTCAGGCCCACTTGGAAAAGACAAAGGGGAATCTCCAGTGAGCCACCAGAGAAGGGAATTTTTGGCTCAGGGGCAGGAAGAGGGACAGAATGGCCTCAGGTGAGGGCCTGAGAAGTCTGTGATCAGAAGCAAGGAAACCACCATCCTCTGTTTCCTCTTTGATGATCCTAAGATTCCATATCCACCTCCCCATCCACCCTGGGGGCTCCTCTCCCTTCTCCCTTCCCTTTCTAACACAGCACCCCCACAGCCAGATCGTGTTTCTTTTCCAACATTTGAGAAGTAATAGACTCTGCCTCCTGCTCCCCGACCCTTGCCCCAACCCCACCAACCCAAGGTCTCCAAAGTGGACACCCCTCCGGTAACCTAACTCCTGTTTCTCATGCTGTCACGTCTGGCCCCCTTCTTTCCCCAAAGGCACAGATCCCAGGCCCCAGAGTCCCAGGTCTGAGAGGCCCCTTCAGTCTTCTCCTCTTGCAGTCATAAGCTCCCCTCCCCCCAGCTCTTATTCACTCTCCCTACCCCCATGACTCAGCTGTGGCACCAGAAATAAACCGAGGCAGGTGCCAGGGGGCCACTGTCGAGGAACCACCTCCCAGCAGCTGCAGGCTCAACTGCTCACAAGTGGAGCCCCAGGGTCCCAGGTGGGGGGGCTGGGAGACTTCAATTTCAGGGGTGGGGAGATGGGTCTGGCCCCCTCCTCCATCCTGCTAAGGAGAGACAGCCCCTTGCTGTCAGCCTCAAAGACTCCCTCTCCTTCCGGTCTCCCCCTTTCTGCTTCTCCTCATCTTCCACTCTTCCACTTCCTCCCCTTCCTCCTCTCTGGCTGCTTCCCAACTCTTGAATCCTTTGATCTCTCCTGGATTCCCTCTTTTTCTGTTGGCCTCATTTGCCTGGAAGTTCTGTGTCGGAAGAGAGCTTCGGTTTACCTTGATGGGGATAAAGGTGCAGATAGACATTCTTGCCAAGGATACTAAGAATCCTTAGATGCCACTTGGGATCCAAAGAACATGGGCCCGGGGGTGTGGGATGCTCCTCTTAAGGGCTCCAGTCCAAAGTGGTCAAGCAACAGGCTTCCCTCTGTTAACAACTTCTAAAGACCACGAGGAAGAATCATCAGGGAATAAACACAGAGGTCACAAGATCTACCCACTCAGACTACTGACAAGAGTCTAGAATCTTTCAGTGGGGAATTTCCTCCCAGAGTTCTTCCTTCTCCCTCTTTGCTTTTCTCTCCTCTCCTTCCCAACCCCTTTCTCCTGTTCTGCCCCAGGCTTTCAGTCCTGCCTTCCCAGGAGGAAGCAGGCAGTTTTGCAGGAGGTAGGCAGGAAGTGAGATCTCAGAAAGGACCTCTAGCCTGGGGAACAGAGGAAGCTTCCCACTTTTGGAAGCCGGGTACCTGGACCCTCACTCCAGGCAGGGTCTGACTGCAACTCCTGGGGAAAGCCCTCCTGCCCACAGGGGTCTGACAGGCTGAGCATTTCTGGAAGTCTTTGGGAGCTACTGTGTCGCAGAAGGCAGCCAGGACAATGGGGCCCTGTCTCCCTCTGCACAGGAGACAGGCTCACAGACAGAGCCTCAGGACTGGGACAAAGGCCCCAGTGAGGTCAGGGCAGTGTGCGGGAGTCGGAGTGGGAGAGTGGGAGAGGAATGGGGAAGGGGGATGTGGGTCAGAGCAGCCTGAGCAAAGCTGGGAACTCTGGTGGATGGAGGACCTCTGGAAAACCCACTTCCCTGGGCTCTCAGGCACATTCTCAATGCGCAAGCCCCTAATCTAGGCTGGGCCTCCTCTCTCCACATAGACCCAGACATTCTCTGACTTTCCTCAACCCCAGGGAAAAGGAAACCCTGTGGAGGGACCCGATTTTAGACATGTGGGAAGGTGGCTGGGATCTTAACCACATATCCAGGGGCTTGGCAAGGGTGGGCACGTGGTCAGCTGTCTGCTGTGTCCTGGAGGCAGAGGTAGATACAGGGGGGCCCCTATTCTAGCTGCCCAAAGAGATGGGGCTGACACTCCATGAGGGGCCAAGTCCCCCTATTCAAGCCAAGAGAGGCCATACACACACACACTGGTCCAGGGCTTAGCTTCTGTACAGGGTGCTGAGTCATCCCTAGACCAGCTCTCCCTTCCCCAGGAAGCCCAACAAAGCCAGGAGAAGGCTTCCGTTTCCGGCAGCCCTGCCTAAGCAGCTCAGCAGGTGTCAGGGGAAGAAGGGGGAGGATTCTCACTCCAGCCCTATATCTACCTCTGGAACCCTCTTCATCCACCGATCAGCGATAGTGGATCCCTGCCTACTGCTGTCCGGGAGATTCAGAGAGAAAGCTGATGAAAAGGCTGGGAAACCAGACCTTCCCAGCTCACCACCAGGGTCTCTCGGGCAAATCCAATCCGCTACCTAAGCTCTGTCTCTGTGAGGATATGTTTCTCAGACCACCTCCCTTAAGAACCCAAGGACAGACATTGCCCCTTCCTCAGCCTTCTCTTTTCAGACCCCATCTTCAAAGGCCCACTTTGGTCTTGATCCACTTACAATTCCAGCTTAATGCTCTTGACCTCCCTAACAGTGCAGTGAGTGGACAACTGCAGGGTAATACAGGATAAAGTGGGGTTCTGCTCTGGCCCCAGGATCATCCTCCCAGCAGCTCCATAAGGAACAGCCCCGCTCCCTAGCCACGCTAGGCTGGGTCATATGGGGAGGGCAGAATCTGAGACAGGAAACCCTGGGGCAAAGAGAGGAATGTGGTGCTTGGTGGTAGGTAGGTCTGGGAGGTCAGGGCTGGTGTCTCAGAGATCAGCTGGTTTGGGGTTTACATACCTGGAGAAGGCCCAGGTAGGCAGGAATGGCCGTAGAGCCCCTAGCTGCCCCAAATAAGCACTTGTCTTTGTCCCCTCTCTCTTGTCTGGGTCTCTTCATATCGCCCTCTCTACACTTCTTGCTCCTCTGGATCTGTCTCTCTGTCCTTTAGTTTTATCAGGTTTTACTGACTTCTACAAAAGAGAAGAAGAAATGCGTTTGTATGAATGCGGTGCAACAGTGGGCACAAGCAGAAGTGTGTACACACGACAGTTCGCACACATGTATTCATGAGTGTGGCCAAGTGCGGTTAAGTGTGAGGAACTGCAGCAATAAGATTCACCCCCAGCAGGAAGACAGACGGCATCCTGACACACTTTCACCAGGAGGCACCAGAAGGCACAATTCAGTGCCCTGCGCTGAGGTACACACACACAGCGGGTCATTCTCTCTTCACTGTTCAGAGAATGACCTCATCATCTCAGTCTCCGCTGACTCACAGACCCCAGGGACAGCTCAGCCTGGCCGGAAGTCCTACCCTCCCCCTGTCCCTGGCCCTGCCGCCAGCCACCGCGCTTCGCTTCCCAGGGCGCTCCTCAGGACAGATCCCCGGCGCCCCCTGGCGGTATCCTGAGACTCCTACAGGTCGGCTCCACCCACGCACGCGCACACAGGCACGCTCAGGCCGACGTGCCTGCAGCCGCAGCGCCATCTGCTGGCCACAGCCTATGGGCCTCGCAGGTCATTCCCCAGAGCCCTGCCTGCAGCCGGGCTGGGGAATCTCTTCTCTGTCCTTATCTTGTTTCCTTGTTCCTGCATCTCTCCTTCTGCTGGAATAGGCCTGCTTGAAGTGTAACCCCCTTCATTGCCTTCACGCTCATACTCCCTGAGAGAAAACTCCCCTCTAGAACCTCAGAATGGGGACACCAGGCACCCACCTCTCTGTCTTCCTCTCTGAACCCTCAGCCCCTTTCTCCCCAGACTGAACTTCTCCAGTCTGCTTTACTGGACACTCTGGGCACTCCAGCTTCTTCCAAATATCCTTACGCTGTTTTCCAACCCTTGTGTTTCATTTATTCCATAAACACTGGACTATTCTGTGCCATGAACTCATGTCCACTGATATCTTGACCTCACTGACCTTTAGAAACTAGTAAACACAGAAGGTCTATACATCCTGTGAGGCCTGGCCCAACTCCACTTTTTTTCTCTCTCTTTCACACACACACACAGGCATCAGACTTGCTTGGGCTCAAATGCAGCTTTATTTTCTGTTTGTTTTACAGGTACCCCATCCTGCAAACCCATTCTCTTGGGAAACTGAGAATGAGTGGGCACTGGGGCCTCCAGGGGAATGGACGGGACAGGATGGCTGGCAAGGAGCGGGCAGCTGAGGCACTTAGAGGCCCACTCAAGGCCCTGAGGGAAAAACCTGAGGCCCAGAATAGGAGTGAGCAGGCCTAAGGCAGGACTGGAGATGCCCCAATATTGATGTCACCGAAAAAGCCAAACGAATTGTTGGCCAACCCAGTATTTCCCAGAAGCCCCTGCAGGCACTGCCGCTTGGAGTGCAGCTCCGCCCCTCTCGGCTGTCACCCCCCAGGGGAAGAGCACGGGTCTTGGTGGGCTGGTGGCAGAGGGCAGTGCCGCCGGGGCCTTGCTCCTTAGGGACCTGGAGCAGGATCGGGAGAGGGGTTCAGCCGTGCCTTCCAGTGCCCCACGAGCCTCCTCTGACGTCCTCCTGGGGCCTCTATTGGGCGCAGAGCTCGAGCCTGGGAAAGACACACACTCACCCTCCACCCTTGGGCTCCTTGTCTCTTCTCTTCTCAGGGTCGGCCCTCTGGTGTTCTTGCTCCCTGACCTCTGATCTCATCAAAACACTTTCCCTGGCTCAGCCGTTAAGGGCCCAGACTGTGGCTGCATATTCTCAGACAGCAGCACTGAAGGGGACCCCGAGAGCATTCAGCCCACCTCCTCTGTGCCCCAGAGAGGGATAGTGGTAACTCCAAGTATACCTAGCCAGTGATGGACAGAGCTAGGACTGGAGCCCACGGCTATGTGGGCTAGTGTCCCCCATCTCTCTCCTCCTGGCACTCACAGGCCTGCGGGGCACACAGGAGATCTGGGGGGGTGCCCAGCGACCATCCTCCTGGCAGCGGATCAGTGGTAGGTTGCGCTGGGTCAGCCCCTCCCGGCAGCGGTAACGAAGCACTGTGTCGACTTCATAGCGCAGCCGTGGGCGGCCAAATACTTCAGCCAGGGGCAGCTCTGGTGGGGGCCCGCAGGACACTACAGGGAGAACACAGTCAGGAACCGGGAGCCCGGCTCGAACAGCTCCCAGAACTGGGATGAAGGAGGAGAGGAGCAGGCCACAACCTGACAGACAAGAGAGCAGGCGGCGGAGGGGCTGCCCTGAGGGCTCAGGGGTAAGGAATCTGCTGCCCCTGCAGGAGACATGGGTTTGATCCCTAATCTGGGAAGGTCCGAAATGCTGCGGAGTGACTAAGTTCTCCACAACTACTTACTAAGCCTGTGCTGCAGAACCCAGGCGCTGCAACTACTGAAGCGGAGTGCCAAGAGCCTGGGCTTCGCAACAAGAGAAGCCACCACAACGCTCGTGCACTGCCAGTAGAGAGGAGCCCCCCTCACAGCAACTAGAGAAAAGCCGGCACTGCGACAGAGACCCAGCACAGCCAAAAATAAATAAAATAATAAAATCGTTTAAAAGAGCAGGGGCGCCTAGTGAACCCGTCTAATTTGTTGTCCCGCCCACGCTCACAGCCCCGGGGCACATTTCTGATTCCTCTGTGTAGCTTCGCTCTCTCCTCCTGCACACACAGCAGTTCCAGGGTTCCCCGGCCCCCCTCCTTCCCCTTGCCTGCCCTCACCCAGCCCCATCTTGCAGGTGTAGGACAGGTGGTAGTTGCAGGGAACATCACTCCATTGTCCCTGATCGTGCCACACCATAACCACGCAGTTCTCTCCGGACAGGAAGTAGCTGTCTGGCTGCCCAGGGTTCCAGTTCTCATAGAGCTGGGAGGGTGGGGGGAGGATGGAGGAGGTGGTGAGGAGCTCCAGCTCCAGGAGCACGGAGAGGAATGGACCTGTGCTTGAGGAGACGGAGGGCGAGCACGGGAGGGGAGGCTTGCAGGGTGGGGAGTACGGGACCCCGAAGGAAGAAGATGTCCGGGGATTTGGGGGTAGGGGTAATGGGAACCAGATGAGAAGAAAAGAGACGGGGACACAAGGAAGAAGGGCCAGGAAGAGGGAAAGGTAAAGGGCCAGGAGAAGGAGAGGGAGAGATGGGGGTCACTGGGGGCAGAGGGTAGAAGTGCTTCGAAGAAACGACCTAGACCACGTGAGGGGCGGTCGGAACCTCTCACCAGGGGGACGCCATCTGACCACAGGAAATCCCCTTCGATGGTCCTGTCATTGAGCCCGATCCACTGGTACTCCCGGTATCGATCTGGGGAACAACCGCAGAGGAGACGAGAGTGTGCAGTGAGCTTCGCCGCCAGCAGAGGGCGGCCATTCCCCGTCACCGAGCGGTCTGTGGGCGCTCGCGGGGCAAGTCCCCGCGGCCCCAAATCCGCGCTTCCTGGTATCCTTATTTCTCCCTCCAACTTCTGCACACGGGCAGGAAGAAAACAGGGGCGTAGGGGTGAGGGAAGAGGGAAAATATCACTAGGTCTAGAAAAGGGAAACTCTGGAAAATATAAAAATTTTCAATAGCGTCGGAGTCGGAGAGAGTAGATGGAGGCAGGAGAGCCAGGGAGGTGGGGAGCGATTATAAATGAGCCCCCAAGGAACCACCAGGCTTATGCAGGTGTATTTTCTGCGTATGTCTCAGCCCTGCCCTGCCTGAAGCCCCACTGCCACGTGTGGAGTGGGAAGGAGGGAGACAGGAAGGAAAAGTGAATGAATGAATGAATGAATGACGTGAACCAAGTAATGAGTACCTGAATTAAAGTATAAGGAAGTTAATTAACACACTCTCTAACTGACTGACTGATGAGTGAGTGAATGTGTGGCTGAGAGGACAGGTGGCGAGGGGTCGCCTCCCTCCCTGTCCCCAGCCCACTGTTGATGAAGTCCTGTTCCTCCGGCGTGCTGATGCTGGCGAGGTGCGCGCCGTACATCCGGCACTTGTTCTCTGCCTCCTCCCAGCTCCTTCGGGTAGAAAAGTGCTTGTAGCAGGCGCCCTGGAAGGCGTCCCAACCCGGGCTGCAGAAGTGGAGGCCTGGGACACAGAAGGGCAGGCAGCTTAGGGGGGAGGACCCCAGAACTCTGAGAGGCTGGGTCCCCAGACAGGAAGACTGGGCTCCTCCCACCGCCGCAGGCCGAGGGGGCGGGACTGAGGGCAGGAGGGCGGCGCCCGAGAGCGAGCTGGGAAGGAGCAGCTAGGAGCTGGCGGGGCCCTCGTGGAGGGCGGCCCTGATGCCTTCCTTCTCTGCAGCGAAGAGACAGGAGTCCCGACCTGGGTCTCCGCCATCCTCCATCCGAAAGAAAAGCCGAACCTTCCTCTCCTCCCAGGAGAATGGAAACCGACAAGTATTGACTGTGCCTGCCAAATTCCAGGCTCACAGACTCCCCGAGAGAGTCATTTTTGGCTCCACTTAACAGATAAGGAAATTAAGGGTAGGCCTCAGAGAAGTTATGTGATTTGTCTAAAATGATAATTCATTATCTGGGTTTCCACTGCAGGAGGCCTGAGTTCATCCCGGGTAGGGAATGTCCAAGAGCAAGAACAACAAATGGAGGTTCATTAGTGACAAGGCCAAAGGGGGAGTGTCCCCTTCCCCCTCCGCCCCCCTCCCCCAGAACTAGCGCACTGTGGCAGAGCCTCGGCTCCAGATCTCCCCCAACCACAGCCCCTCAACACACTCACCAACATCGCACAGGTCCCCCCCATAGCCAGGCAAACACAGGCAGCGGACCCCCTCCTCCTCCTCCAAGCACGTCCCGCCATTGTGGCAGGGGCTGGGGACACAGTCACCTGAGAGGGGAGAAAAGTGAGGTGGCGGGCAGGGGAGCGCAGCTCCGCAGCCAGCCCTCCAGCCCTGACTGCCTCATCCTGGGGGCTATCACAGCATCCTCAGTGTTCCCCCTGAAGCCTGAGTTCTGGGTTTCTCCTCTCCTCACTGCCCCCTATTTCAGCACTGGCTCAGTCCTATGCTGGTCATTGTCATGTCTGCCATTGTGGGCTGAAAAAGGAACCAATGGGATGTGTCCAGGAAAGCTGTCAGGATATAACTCCACCAAGGGGAAAGATATTGGGCTATCAGTCATGCATCCTGGGCTCTCACCTAGCTTCTGACTGCTGGGTGACGTTGAGATGGTCACTTTACTTCTCTAGGTCTAGAGTTTAGTCCCCCACCCCCATCATTGTGCCAGGTCTTAGCCTGATTCTGTGTAGTCTAGACAGGCTGGGTGGAGCTGAAGGGGAGGAGAGTCACCATAGGAACAGTGAGTTGTGACCTGCCCTTTACTGCTTCTGAGACCTGATACTGGGGTGGTCCAGGAGGGAGCCAACCCCCCTTCCTGCTGTCATTGGGCAGAGTCAGGCCCAGAAGCTGTTGGGGGAAGATCCAATATACTTCCCTCACTCTATGCCCTCTCCTTCCCCACTACCCCCAACCCATCCCAGGAATGGAGCTCAGTAACTCCCCCTGTCCTGCAGCGCTGGTTCCACACATTCTCTCAACATCATCCAACCTCTTTGCCTCTCCTCTTATTGCTTCAGACTCTCCCCCCATCACCAGGCTTCCCTTTCCCCCTCCACTTGGGGCCTCCTGAAGTTTCCCCCAGCCTAGAAACCCCTTCAACTCCTTCCTTCTGGTTCCCTCTCCTCCAGGCAGTCTTCTTGGACTAACACACTACCCTGAAGGCCTGCAATCTGTTATCTAGGTCCAGCTCCATCTGGCTAGGCCATCTGCCTCTTTTTCTGGACTCTCTCAGGATGCTGGGTGGCTGCCCCGACACTGGGCCTGGGTGCTGAAGGGGCTGACAAATTCTACTGCTTTCTGTTCCAGATGACCAGGAGACAGTGACCTCACAGACTGACAGGACAGGTCAGGGTTCTCAGCCCAGCTTGGGGCGGGACCTTCAGACCATGCCATCCACTCTTAGTGGCCAAGGCCAGTGCCCACAATGCTTCTGGCCTAAGATCCCACTGCCTGGGGCGGGGCGGGGGGTGGTCAGAGCAGAGGTGGGGGGAGGAGAAGCTGGAGTTGGTTCAAAGAATTTTTCTGGGATGACCGAGCTGTTTTGGGTAAAATGAATCAGCTGTTCCAGCACCACTCCCCCTGTCATCACCTCTTCTGCCAACAGTTTCTTCCAATCTGGTGTTGCTGCCTCCCAAGGCAAAGCAAGGAGGGGAGGTGTTTTACTTAACTCTTTAAGCACCAGGTCCTACAGAAGGTAGGAGTCCTGAACTCCCTTTCATTCCTCACACTTTTCTGCTCCCTCTGTGGTCCTCTCTGCCCAACCCTCCAATCCTGGTGGACAAAGACTCTCAAACTTGGTCTGTGGAGTCCCACCCAAGCCAAAGTTCCCTCTCCCTGGCTGTGAGTAGCAGAACCTGACCAGGAGGGGAGGCTGTGTTGGTGGTGAAGGAACTTCTCAAGACTTTCTGGTATTCCCATCCCCCCATCCCTTTTGGATCAACTATTATACACACTCAGAAAGTTCTCCCTGCCTTCCTGCTACAATAGCGGGCTGGAGGATCACTCACTCGTCCCCCAGATGGGGTAACTAAGACACCATAGATACATCCAATGGTGCCCCTCTCCCACCAAAGCCCCTTCCCACCCAATGCAGCACTGAACTCCAAGGCCATCTGGGCAGGGAGCCAGTAGTCAAAATGCATGAGCCCAGGTGTGATGCAGAGACCCTGAGCCTGCCCTGGACCATCTAGAACAGTGGTCCTGGGACTAGGAGGATCCCAGCCTTCTCCAGAGATCTCCATGTGGAAATTCAGCCTTCACTGAATAGGTAGGGCTTCTTGCTCTCAGACCCCAAAACCTAACTTCCCATTCCCCCTCCCTCCACACTTTCCATCTTCCCCTGCTGATTTGTGTCTTCTCCAGCATTAGCAACTTTGAGATCCTTTGGGTTCAGGGAGGGTAAAATAGGGGGTGAGGGTAGTCATTAGCACAGGGGTTAGTGGAGGAGGGAGAGATCATGGGCATGAAAGGGAGACCCTAACCCCCTGTGGATGTTTGCGGGAGGGGGACAGGCTCTTGGGGCACCTGGATGCCAGGGAATGGCCTCCACGCTAGGATGGACTCTTATCTGTCAGTGCTCTGTGCACGGCTCTAGGTGGGAGCCATGAGAATGGGTCAGAAATGAATACAAAGGGACATACACACACTCAAGCATGCACACGCACACACACACATGCACACACTCTGGGCTGCAGAGGTTTCTCCCTGTCAGAAGTGAGGGACTACAACTCCCAGCACTCCCACAGACTGACAAACACTTCTCTGGGGTAACGTGTATAGTCAGATTTGGGATCTCAGGAGACAGGAAGGCAAAGACAAGCCTGAGGAGAGCATGAAGGAACAGCAAGGGGCTGTTAGACCACTAGACAGGAAAGGGTGCAGGCTGAAGACGGAAAAGGAAGAGGCACAGAGACACACGAAGACCCAGGGAGAGAGACAGAGAGACAGAGATGGAACCACAGGAAGCACCAAAGAGCTACCCAGAACACAAATCCATGGGATGAAAGGGGCGAACAGCTGGGGGTGGAGACAGAGGGTGCCAGAGTTTTGGTTATAAAGCAGTTTAATAGAGATTTATTTCCAAGGCTTGTTTCCATGAAACAGTTGAAAAAAGTACTTCATAGAAGTAGTTGCTTAAGGCTCTGTGGGGATAAGGGCTCTCCTGGACCCCAAAGGTTGAGGGGTGGGAACGGGACTCCAGGCTTCCCTGATACCAGTGGGAGGCAGCTGAAGGGGAGAGGCATACAGGATGGGGAGGGAGCAGCAGGGGATGGGCCTGGGCCTTGAAGAATGCAAAAGGCTACGAGGACTCCCACTGAACAAGGCTGCTCTGTGGGGCCAGTGAGATGTGAGTCACAGGTAGAGAACCGAGGCTAGGAAAAAGCTCCAGGTGGTTGGTGGTGGGGGTGGGGGTCACAGTGAGGATTTCAGAAACAGGGAGAGGTCACAGGGTGGGAATCATGGAGTTGGGGGTTATAGGGTGAGAAGTCAGAGAGCTGGGATGGTAGTCACAAAGTGGGGCATCCAGGATCGGAAGCCTGCAGGTAGAGGTGGGTAGGAGAATGAAGGCAGAGGACGAGAGTCTGGGGCAATGGTGGGTTAAAGGACTATGGGTCAGGTGATCCAGAGCTGCAGGGGGAGGAAGAGGAGGAGGGTAAGGAGGGAGGCTGAGCCTTGGGCAGAGTTACCTGATGAGGGGGCCACGGCCACTCCACCACGGCTGGCGCTGTCAGTGGGCAGCACCGGCTGGGCACGCACTGAAGTCCCTGCTGGGACAGTTCTTCTGGAATTCTCTTCAGAGGGGGTCTCCAGGTCCCTGGTATCCCCAGGGGCCCGTGTCGCTGGAAGCAGGGAAGGGGCATCCTCGGAGCTTCCTGTCTCCTCACTCTCTCCTCGAGGGGCCCCAGAGAGCTCAGGACCCCCAGTCTCCTCCTCTATCTCTCTTGCCCCGACTGGAGTGGAAGGTGGGGGGGATGCCAGGTTCCCCTCCCTAGGAGTGGGCAGGGTCTTGGTGGGTGGTCCAAGGACCCTTGGAGGCCTGGGAGCCTCTGGCTCGTCATACGGGGGTGTTGATGCACCAGGCTGCAGGGCAGCCCTCACTGGAGGGGATGCCTGGGTGAGTGACTCCTCTGGAGCCGGCTCAGTGGGGAGAGGGGCCTCTGGGTCCAGGCTGCTGAGCTCACTGGGCCAGGCCCACAGGGCCTCATCCTCCACCTCGTCCTCTTCCTCTTCTTTCTCTTCTTCACCCCTGTATTTCTCTTCTTGCTCCAACACCTTGCCTTCCTCTTCTGAGGACCCCAGCGGAGGCACAATGGATTGGGTTTCGAATTCTAGGCAAAGCACAGATGATTCAGCACCAGGGACAGCACCCGCCAGAGGACAGGAAGAAGGAAGGGGAAGCGGGGAGAGAAGTGGGGCTGGGAAGGGTGAGCCCTGGGTGAGAGGCGAGAGGCTGCCCTGGGGAGGAATTGACTTTGCTCTGAACCAGAAGAATTTCAACCGGAGATGCAATATTGAGGCAACACTTGAGAAGGCTCTGTGAGGTGTCATTAGTCCAGGAAAACCTGGTGGTTGCATCTCCCTCTACCAGTCTGTTAAAATTCTGTTTATTTTAGATAGATGATGGGGAGGACGGGCCAAAGAAAGGAGGTCCTTCCTTTCCAAAGGGCAGCTCCTTAGTCCAAGCATCTCCAGACCGAGCTATTCGGGAGTGGGCTTTGTTGGAAAGGCAAAGTTTGGGAGAGGGACAGGGGCAGTGCCTTGCACTACTGTGCTGTTGAGAGGGCAGAGCCACGGTGGTGACAACCCCGGCCCCAGCCCAGGCTGGCTCCTTCTGCCTCTAACTTCTTCCAGGTGAAGACACCCCCAGGATGAGAGCTTTGAGTTACCCAGGAGGGTTCTAGGGGCCTCGGCTGGGTCTTCTGGAGTGAAGCTTCCATCACCTCCGTCCTCTATAATGGGCATGGAGTAGATGGCTCCTCGGGACTCGCTTTCCACAGCTTCCTGGGGCAGCTTCAATTCCTCCAGGGTCTCCGTCACTGTGACAATGGCTTCCAGGGCGTCAGAGGCCAGGTCAGAGGCTGGGTTGGTGGCCTCAGGGATGGCAGAAGGCTGGGCAGGGTCTGTGGCAGAAGGAAAGTGCCCATGGAAGGTCAGAGAGGTGGCTCTCCCCCCAACCTATGCCTGCATGTGAGGGCTCTGGGTTAGACTTAGAGATCATGGAATTCTCTTAATTCTCTCTCATCCTCTCTGTGGAGCACTCATGGGGCCCAGGGAGCACTCCAGGACTTCATCACTCATTCCTCAAGCATTAATCAAGTGTCCACTATGTACCACGCCAAGCAATCTCCTGGGCACTGAGGACAGAGTGCAGAGCCAAATAGCATGATTTCTGCCCCTACAGAATTTATTATATTCTAGATACAGATAAGCAAATAAACATACATTATAATTTTACCATCTAAAGAACAATTAAGCAGAGTTAAGAGATTGGAAGTACTACTTTAGATAGACTGGTAAAGACAGGCTCAGGAGAGAAGTCATCCCTTGGAGACAGAAGGATGAACAGAATGGCCTCAGCACTTTGGGACCCTGGGTTTTGGGCAAGATGTGAGGGATCCCAGTCATTCTAAGACTTCAGAAATGGACAGGGACAGGCTGCCATCACCACAGGAGAGCTGAAGGATAGAGAACAGGAAAGACATTCCATCATCACCACCAGACGATCTCAGTGTTGGGGCAAAAGGGCAAAGGATGAGCAGACCTATCATTTCAGGATCTGCTCTCTTCAAATAACCAGAGTTTTAGAATGAATTGACTTGTCCCTGGGGAAGGGAACCAAGAGCAGAAAACCAATGAAGGGAAGGTGGAATTGGGCTAAGAAAAGCCCTGGGGGCTGTCCTTGCTCAGCCAGACAGGATAGGACAGCATGTCCTGCCTGCCTTTGTCACCTGCTCATACCAGACAAGCAAACCTGTGCCCTAGGCTGCTTCTGTCCCCACGTGCTCCCCACTCTAATCATCCTCTTCCCTAGCCCCTTTCCTGATTCAGTTCCTCCTTTCAATTCTTCCCAGAACAGTGCTTGGCACATAATTATAATCAGTGTTAGCTACTATTATTATAATTATCATCATCACCATTATCCATGTTCCAGTAAGCCTATTCAGATGGACCTGTCTTCCTGTGGACTTGACTTCCCTACTCCGCCCAGCCTCAGGCCAAAGCTGTCTGGAGATCAGTCCCAGTGGAAGTAAAGTTTTTCTCCCCATCTTTCCTCATGCTGGGAGTGAGACATCTTGTCTTCAGTCAGACTGGGGGCTCCCATGGCAGAAGTTGCATCTTCCTCCTTCAGACTGGGGGCTCCCTGAGGGTAAAGACTGTTTCTTCTCCCTCCATTTCTGCCTCCAGCCCTGTACCAGTACTACTGAAGGCTCCCAGCTGGGGCAAGGCTCAGATCTCCATGGCAATGCCTTGCCTCCGTGACTGTCAGTCACCCTTGGCCTGGGCCCTGGGCCTCTCCTCCAGCTCTCAATATAAGACGTGGGCAGGAAGCCGTCTCTACCCAACGGTCCTGAAGGATCTGCTCCCTGTGAGGGGTGGGGGATTACGTCTGTCCATCAATATTTGGTGTTAAAGAGTTGATACCTTCAAGCTCAAGCTGAAGGCTCTGGAAACCCCACTGAGGGCTCTGGAGGATATTTGGTTAACTGAAGTGGATCATTCCTTGGATTCAGAGAATGTTGGTCATCTCTGCTCTGTTCATGAGCTGACCAGAGATGGAGATATAATTGGCAGCCCAATAGGGGAGAGGCAGTATTGCAACAGAAAGAACAAGGCAAGAACTACTGATGTGCAGGCAGTTTAGGCAATGCGGAGAAGTGAGCCCTCCTTGGGGCCACACAGACCAAGTCAGGGAGCACAAGCAGAGTTAGAGAGCACCACCCACAGCACCATGAGGCAAATGGCAAAGACCCAGGAGAAACTGGTCAGGGCTGGGGTGGAACTGAGGGCTCGACTCTGCCTGCCTGAGATTGGTCTCAGCCTCTGCAAGGGAGTGGGCTCACCTCGGAAGCAGTAGACGTTGAATCGGCTGTGCTTGTTGGGGAAGCCGGTCTGGTTGGGGAAGAGGAAGAGAGTCTTGACACCAGGGAGGCCCCCACCACAGCGCTGGCTGGGGGTGACGATGGGGTAGCGCACACTGCCATCAGCCAGCCAGCCAGGGCTGCAGCGGTCCAGGCCACCATCCCAGGCTGCATACAGCTGGCCGGTGGTTGCAATCTTAGCACCCCGCTCCTGGCAGTATGTCCGCGCCTCCTCCAGGGTCAGCTTGTCTGGGGGGGCGCCCAGGAACAGCTCTCCTGGGGAGGAAGAAGAGGCTGGGTTACCAAGAAGGTAGCTCCTTCCACCCGGGGCTCCCACTGGGACTCTGGGCCTCAGTTTCCTCATCTGTGACATGGAGCCCATGGCCCTACTTCATAGGCTCGAAGTCTTGATAGAACCTTAGGATAAATAATACTGCTCAAAGGAATCAGGCCCAACTTCCTCATTCTGCAAAGAAGGAAACTGAGGCTCAAAGATGCTAAAACGTAAAGAGATGTATGGAACCTTCTGGTGGGTCCGATGGTAAAGAATCAGCCTGCAATGCGGGAGACTCGGGTTCGATCCCTGGATCAGGAAGATCCCCTGGAGAAGGGAATGGCAACCCACTCCAGTATTCCTGCTTGGAGAATTCCATGGACAAAGGAGACTAATAGGCTATAGTGCATGGGGTCGCAAAGAGTCAGACACAACTGAGCCACTAACACTGATTATCCAGCAAAGAGATGTACAGCAGGTGGCAGCGGAGCCAGACTCAGCCTCCTATCTCAGCCGCCTGTCTGGAGGCTTCGGCCGTGAACCTGTCTCTATGACAGTGTTTGGAGAGAGGGACACTGTTCACCTTATTCCTGGCTGCACACTTAAACACAGTATGATGAGGTCCAGCAGAGGCCCAGGAGGACCTAAGGGGAGCCCTGGAGAGGGGTCCCTTCCCCTGAGAACCTCCCACCCCCAATCACCATTTAGTTCTTCAGCATAACAGTAAACATCATAGAGGTCATCTCCAGCACATGGTCCTAACCCGCCTGCCGCAGACCAACTTCATCTCCCACAGGCAGGGAGCCCTATGTGGCCCGCCTGAGGCAGCAGCCGGCAGCCTCTGGTAGAACCAGAAGCCACAGCCGCCTCAGAAACAACTAGAAGTTCCTGGTCGACAGCCCCCGCACACCTCACGGTCTGGTCGGACAGCCAGCCAGCGTCACACTGTTCATAGCCCCCGAGGTAGGCGGCATAGAGCTGCTCCGGAGTGGCGATTCGGGCTCCGATGCGGGCACAGGCCTCCTGGGCCCCAGCGAAGGAGAAAGCGTAGCGGGCGGAGCCCTCCCGGTAGAGAAAGACGACGCCTGAGGGGCAGAGAGGACCCTGAGGTGGGATCACCCAGCACACTGACTTCCCCTTACCCTCCTTTCACTCCCCTGTAGACAAAGGGTAAAGTCCGGCCTGCACTCACTCTACAGCAGGAGGGACGTAATTTAGGCTGTGGGTAGAGTTTTCCTCCACCTGAAGAAAGAAAGGAGGTAAACTCCCTTTCCAGTTCGGTCTGCGCCTTCTAGGTGTCTGCTTACCACCCGCCCCCCGCCCCACAGTGGGCTCCCCTCCCCCTCTCCGGGAGCCCCTCTCCGTCTCCGACCTCTCACCTTTGACCTTGACCTCCACAGCGTCGCTGCTGTCGTCGATGCCGTGCTGGACCTCGCAGCGGTAAATGCCTGAGTCGTTGGGCCGCAGCTCGCTCAGCACCAGGGAGACATCGGTGAGTGACGCCGGGTAGGCAGGCAGTGCCACGCGGAACCGGTAGGCCTCGCTCACCTTGACGCGTAGGCCCCGCGCCACTAGCACCTCGGCCTCCCGGCCGCCGGACAGGAAGGTCCACTTAACCCGCGGGGAGCCCTGCGCGGCCCGGCGGCTCGGCGACGGCCGCAGGTAGTGAACGTGGCATGGGATGGTGAGGGCGCCGCCCAGCACGCCCTGCAGCGGCGCGTCGCCCGCGATGCGCACGCGGAAGGCCCTGTCCTCTGTGGACGGGCGGAGCCGGCTGGAACTTCGCGCTGTGGATCTGCCGCGCCCCATCCCGGGGTTTCTAAGCCCCGCCCCAGGGTCCCGACGCCCCGCCCTCGGATTTTCGTAACCCCGCCCTCCAGGAACTCAAGACTCGGGCCGCGAGTCCTGCAAACTCACCTGTAGGTCCCCCAGGCCCACCCCTCAGGGTCGACAGACTCGTCCACAAAGTCTCTCAGCTAGTTTTCCCCCCAAAGCCTCCCTGTACCACCCTAGGATTCCTGGGCCCCACTCTGGGTCCTCAAACCTCACTCCTGGGTCCTGCAACCCTCTTCTCAAAATTTCCCTAGTCTGTTCCCTTGAGTCCCTTTCTGGATTTCTCCCAGTTCCATCCCTGTTCTGCCTTGAAGGCCCACTCATCGTGCCCGGAGGGTCCCCGGTCCTCCACCCTGGAGACTGACAGCCTTGTACCTAGTGCCCCACCCCAGCCCAGCTCCCCAAATTCCATCACCCTATCAAGGGCCCACAGATCATCGCTGATTTTCAAGTATCCCTGCGTAGGCCCTCCTCCGCAATGCTCCCGGTTCCTCCCTGGTCCCTCCAGGCTGACAGAGGTTGCTTAGGGCTGGACAAGAGGCTCCTTCCTACCACAGGGGAGATGTAGGAGACAGACAGTGACCCTGAGTGGGGTTGCTTACCTGAGCTGTCTCCTTCCAGAGCATCAGCCAAGGCCGCAGGGATCCAGGCCAGAACCAGGGTTGCCAGGAGGGGCAGGAACAGTGGGGCCATGCTGCAGGATGAGGGAGGGACTGGAGGAGGAGAGATGGGGTTAGACCTCAGGATGGGCTTCTGACTCCCCACTGCATCCACACGGATCATACATATCCTGACTCCAGGAGCCCACTGTCCCCACCTCACTATTTATTAACACCACTTCTGATCCCCGTCTCCCCCCAGGGGATTCTTATTCAGAACCAAGACCTGGGTGCTGTCAGCTCACCGTGTGACTTCAGGCAAGTTCTTTATTCTCATTAAGCGTTTATTTTCTTACTTGTAAAGGAGAACCATTACTACCACTTCACAGGTTGTGATGAGGATATGTGCTTTGAGAATGCTTTTCATCGAAAAAGAAAAACAACAAAAACAAGTAAACCCTGCATAGAGTAAGAGCTCAATAAATGCTTACGGCATATAGCATAATGGCAGATGCTATTATGCTTAGAGTCCCCTCTCCTTCCCAGGGCCAGACTTCTTTGAACCCTCCTCCTCCCACAATACCCATCCAACCTTTCCTTCCTGTACCTTCCTCCCTGAGTACTCTGCCCACCTAGCTTCCTCCAGGAAGAGTTCCTAGACTAAACCCAGGCAATATACAGCTTCTCTCCAGTCTAACCCCTCCTTGACCTCCCCCCTCTACACTGCACCATTACTTATAAGGCAACTCTTCTCTTTACCCCCCAGCATCCTCCACCCCCTCCTCCTTGGCTGCCTTCTCTCTCCTTCCCAGCCTTTCCTTTCTGCCTGGCACGGGCTTTCCCACCGGATCTCCTGGCTCAGAAACCAGCTGGGACAAAGCCCCTGTCTCTGCTAGTCTGGACTCCATCCAGCCTCTTCCTCCCCCAACTCCAGCACCAGGCTAAGGGGGATGTGTGAGAATAAATGAGAGGGACCATTTCCCATCTGCTCTTGGCCATCAGAAGCTCTGAAAACTCAGATTGTTCCTCCAAAGATCTCAAGGCACTTATTACACTCTCATAATGGATGGATGGGGGCGGGACATTGAGAAAGGGGCTCAGAGAGGGATAGGGTTGAAACTGAGTCCCCAGTGAAACCAAGTCAAGTACCAGGCCAGTGTGCCCCAAGGAGGGAAGGCTGCAGAGCCAACTTCATTTTTAATGGTTGGCCTAGCCTCAAAAGAGCATGGAGTCCCAACCTGCCATGGAATAGGCCAGGGGTGCAGCAGGAGAGATGAAGGTTAGACTACAAGCAAGACTTCCTAGACATCAGGCTTCTTCCCACCGGCTACTCCCACCTTCCCTGACCAATCAGGCTCTGCCCTTGTATATATATCCCATTTCCTGAGGCTGAGCTGATAGGAAATTACCCTCTTCTCCCAGATCCTCCCAAAGATCCCAGATCCTCCTAAAGACACCTCCCCACCACTGTGATCTCCGTTTTCCCCAGTGTGGCTGGGCATCGTTTCCTTGGGGTCAGAGGTGGGGGTGGAATGGCAGGAGCCAGATGCCCAGAGCCTCTGGGGGTGAGAAGGAGGAGGTTCTTGTTGGGACCCAATCAGAGGATGCTGGGAGCAGCTCTGGGCATGGGAGCACTTGAGAGGACTGCTTTCTGGGGTTGGAGTGGGGACCATTTGGCATGAACAGTCAGTGCCTGCCGGGTGCTTGGGAGACTGTTTTGCCATGCCTTTGAGCTGTGCCAGGTCCTGAGCTAGGCCCCTCTCTGGCGCCTTCCCTCCCCTCTCCCTGGGCTAGAGCTGGAGCTACTCACAGCTCTTTGACGGGCGGCCCAGAAACCCATATAGTTGGAGCCACTCTGGGACCAACACCCTAGAACCTCCTTTCAACCCTGTTATGTAGGTGGGGGAATGAAGGGAGAAAGTCTGAAGCTGATGAGGACCTGGATGTCCTGAATCATGGAGTATATCCCACCCCTACCTCCAGGCTGGGAGTCACTGATTAGCAAGGGCAAGAGGTGGCCCTGATTGTGTGGTTCTCAGGAGCAGAGAGTTCTACACACCTCCCACCCCCTCACCAGTCCCACTAAGCTTGGGCCTCAGCCCCTTCCTGGAATAGCTAGGAGTCCTGAGAAAACTTAAGCATCCCCACTTTTGGTCCCAGACTTAGACTCAGGGATCCAAGCCTTAGTCTCCATCCCACACATCCTCCCACCTCCGTTCCATCTTCTCATCCTCCAGAGCTGGACACACCACTCCATCTCTAACCTCAGGAGCTCAGCTGTCTTCCTGTCCCTTCCCCTGATGCCACACCACTCCTCCGCTCCAGCTTCTGGATTTCTGCCCTTGTTTTGAGTTTCCCCAGCTGTTTGGGAAACTTCCCTCATGTTACATTACCATTCCTGTCTGACTATGGATGTCTATCCCCTCACAGGCTTCATACACCCAGTCCACAGAGAATCAAGACCAGGCTATGGGTGCTGTGTGTGTGCACCCAACGCCCACCATCTCCATGCTGAATGTCCCCCGGCTGGCGGTTCAAGGTCTGCCCCACAGGAACTGAGCTCCAGTGCTCAGCAGAGTCAGCAGGAATGCACAGGAAGCCAGAACTTTGGTCACCTCAGGAGGGAAGCTTTCTGCTATCCCTTTTGAGGCCATGTGAGGGGTAACAGGAACCTACACAGTATCAATGAGGCCTTAACAGGGCCTACAGGAGTAATTGCAGTTTTTGTAAAAAATAGGCCTATTTGTTGGAAGCACAACTAATAATATGATTAGCAACATCACCAGCTGAGCTATTGTGTAGTATAAAATCTGAATTGTGGGTGATGCTGTTATCAACGGCAAAGTTAGCCATGACAATACAGGCACTGGTAATACTTGGGGAGGGTCTGTGGGTAACAGTGTCCCTTGATCTCACTGGTATTATCTGGAATAGGAATAACACAGATATTAATGGTGCTAATAAAATTGATGGCAAATCTAAGTCCTGTTAGAACCCAGTGGGCTGAGCTATTCCGATAGGAAGGGAGTATGGAAGTACTTGACAGGGGTGGGGGGTGCTTCCCAGCCCAACAGCAGTGCTAGGAAGGAAAACAGGAGTGGTAACTGGAATTCCAGCTGACAGTTTCTGACCATCTACCTGAGCCAGGCCTCTTAACTAAATGCTTCCCATGTATGCCTGTTTGCGTGCTAAGTTGTTTCCAGTCCTGTCTGACTCTTTGTGACCCCATGGACTGCAGCCTGCCTGGCTCCTCTGTCCATGGGATTCTCCAGGCAAGAATTTTGGAGCGGCTTGCCATGCCCTCCTCCAGGGGATCTTCCCCACCCAGGGATCGAACCTTTCTCTCTTATGTCTCCTGCATTGGCAGGCGAGTTCTTTACCACTAGTGCCACCTGGGAAGTCTTTTCCATGTATAACCTCAACTTTAAGAAAAATACTCTTTAGGCATTACATCAATGAGGAATCCGAGGTTCAGGGAGGTCAACTAACTTGCCCAAGGTCACTTAGCAAGTAAGTTGGGATTCCATTTCCAGTGGGTGCCAGGACCACCCAATACAGAGGCTCCTGTCGGCTGTCGCGCGAGCTGCCAGGTGGTACCCCTAGGGTGGCCCGCCTCGGCTCCTCCCGCGCTGCTGCCTGCACCGTGGGTACCCAGCGGCGGGGGAAGAAGGTCGGAAATCTCGGCCGCGGTGCTGGGACTGGAGCCCGCAGCAGGGAAGACGCGAGAACCCAGAGGGGCGTTCCCATGAGCCCGCAGAGTCGAGGGGGCTGCGGGTTAGACTGCAAGCAGCAATGGGGATGCCAGCGGCAGAGCTGGAGATGGCAGGATGGCAGCAGGGGCAGTGGGCGCTCCGAGCTGGCCGGCAGCGGACCTCGCCGAGGAGTCAGGGGTCTGCAGGGTGAGTGCGCCGGGGCCGCGGGAGGCAAAGGCTAAGGGGTCGGGGGCGCGGACCACAGGGCAGCCTCCGGGAGCGCCCTTCTCTCTCCCTCCCATGCCTGGCAGGCCGGGATGCCGTCACACTCACCTACCGGCAGGCAACTGAGGACCGGGGTGGGGGTGCGGCACCCGCGAAGTTTGCCGCCTCCTCTGGGGGTCTCCTCTGGGTCCACGGCTCGGTCCTGCAGCTGCAGCCGAGACTGCGGCGAGGACTGCGCGGGCGCGAGGAGAGGCTGGGCCCGCAGGACGCTCGGAAGAGGGCGCCGGGCCGCCGGGCGCCGCACAAAACCCCCTTTCTTTCCCCCCGCCCCCGCCCCGCCCTTCCTCGAGGCCGCCCCTGCCCCCAGGCTGGGAACGCAGGGGGCTCGGAAAGATCACGCGACCCGCTGCCTTCTCTGCATCGGTTCCCGGCGGCGGCAGCCGCGAGAGCAAGGACGAGCGAAGTAGGACATCGTCCTGGGGATGAGAAGCCGGAGACTTGGAGTAGGGAGAGAGGGAGGGAAGGCAGAAGGGGCGGGCAGGGAGCGCTCGCGATCTACAGGATGATGTTGCAGCTGGAGGGATGGAAGTTAGACTGTCGGAGGGACTTCCCGTTTATCAGGGGGAGAGGAGGAGGGACTCAGCCAGTAGAGAAAAGGATGAAGGGAGAATGGGAGGGAGGCTTTGCTCCTGGAAAGACATCACACGTATAAGTGGGGGAGGGAATCTCTTTTTTGGAGGCAGGATCAGGTGCAAGTGACCTTAACCACCTCCCTGGAGGAAGCTCTGATTGGGTTTTGTTCTCCGTGATGCTCCCACTCCCTGCACAGAGGAGGAGCTGACTTTGCAGCTGGAGGGATGGAGGTTAGGCAGCAGATTCATGGGTTAAGGAAAGCAAGTCAGGACCTCTCCAGACATGGAGGAGGGGACGTGGCACTGTGAGCGGACATTACTGGTCATGCAAACCAATGTGCAAAATGCAGGCGTTGCTGGGAGCCCAGAGGGCCCACAGGCCGGAGCTGTCGCTGATGAATGCACAGCCTGGTGCCAGGGGGTGGGCCTTGAGAGCTGCCCAGCGGCTGGGGACTCCTCAGCGCCCAGAATACCAATGACACCCCCTCCACAGCTCCAGAGCCTCTGCTTCCCTCTTCTTTCCCAGGCTCTCTCTCCCCTTCCCTCCTCCCTCCTGGGATTCCAGGCAAAGTCCATGATACAGACTGCAGGCGGGATAGCCAGATGCCTGGATTCTGTCCCTTGGATACCAGGGATGGCATCGAGGATAGATTGTCAGGGGCTTTGATCCCCACAAACTCC